AAACAAACAAATAAATAAATAAATAAATAAATACATTTGGGTCTCTGATGGAAGTGCCAATAAGCTGAAGGTTTAAAATTCCATGTGTGGTGGACTTATAAAAAGAAAAAGATACGCTGAAAAGACATTCCTGCTGAAAAGCAAAAGATTCTGAAATAACTCCAGATAATTTGGGAAAATCTTCATAAGAACTTTTCAGTTACATGTTGACAGCAGCTAGGGTAGTGATGGCAACAAAGTGGAAAATGGAGACATGGCTGACCAAAGAAGATTGGAGAGATAAAATGCTTGAATGGCAAAACTCACAAATTATGTAAACAGAAGGTCAGTTGGAGAATTTGAAAAAAAGTGAGAAAACTATTTTGACTATTATAAATAATTGGAAGGGATATAGAACCAACCTTGTAAAAAGTATTATGTAAAACAAGTATAGTTCACATTGTAAAAATATGGCACCTTTTAGGATAATATGTATTGTATAGATGTTACTTACACAGGACACAGGTGCGGCTGCGGGTTAAACAGCTGAGCCACTGGACTGTCGATCAAAAGGTTGGCAGTTTGAATCCACATGGCACAGTGAGCTCCTATTGCTTGTCCCAGCTCCTGCCAAATCTAGCAGTTTGAAAGCATGCAAATGTGAATAGATTAATAGGTATGACCTCAGTGGAAAGGTAATGGTGTTCCATGTCTAGTCATGCCAGCCACATGACCACAGAAAGTGTTTATGGACAAAGACCCCTAAAGTTGGACATGACTGGACTTAATTGTCAAGGGGAATCTTTACCTTTATAGATGTTAAAATAACAAGGCTATATAAACTATGTAAATAGACTGCCAGTTGTCCTCAAAAAATATGAAATATATGACTTTTTCTGTTTTTTTCCTTTTGTATTTCTACATATTTCAAAATTATTATTTTTTTAAAAAGGGAACTGTTAGTCACAATGTTTTTTGTCTTTTTTAATTTTTCTTTTTCTTTTGTTTTTGCCTGAGACACTCTTTCCTAACAAGCAACTACTTTAAGTAAAGTTGGCAAGGGAAACTTCAAAAAAGATAATGCTAATTATAGTATAAAGGAGACTTACACTGTACTTCGTTAAAAAATAGATTTGTTTGAAGCAAACATATCTGGGTCTCAGAAAGTAAGGAAGGAGATGTGAGAATTTCTAAACCATTCCTCAGAAAATGTTCCATTACTTTCCTCAACTCTTGAACAGATAGAATGTCACCTGTCTGATGTGTAAGAAAGCAATGTTCTCCATTTCACAAGGCAGGATGCTGTATTGTTTTCCACCAATACAGAGGTCGACAGGTGTTGGCTTCTATTACTCTTCATTAGGCATATATCTCATTTGCTCTTTTGTTTTCACCAATTTATCACCACAGCTGTTGTCCAGACTCCAGTTTCTTCAAACTGGAATCTGATATGCCTCTGTGTGCATGTATATAACCAACACCAGGGTAGACTCGAGGTGTAGGGTGGGGAGTAGCCATTGTTTACAAAAACATCCTTCAGGTTGCTAGGCGCTGTGCTCTGGTGACGCGGGGTCTAGAGGCCCTCCACATGTTGATTGGGGCCAGGGATGGTAAAGTGATTTTGCTGGATTACTGCGCTCCCCGTGACCCAGCCATTTCCTTACCACAGCTGGCAGACTTCATCTCCACGGCACTGTTGGGGTCCCCAAGGCTTTTGGTCTTGGGGAGTTCAATGTGCATCATGGAGGTGGAGGTTACCGGTCCAGCTCTTGAGTTCTTGAAGACCATGGCCTCCTTGGACACGTCCCAACATGTCAAAGGCCCTACCCACGTGGGTGGCCACACACTGGACCTCGTGTTCTCCACTGAGCAGAGTGAGTGTGCTGCAATGGTGACTATCCCCATAGTGTCTGTCCCCTTGTCATGGTCAGATCACTGCCTAATAAAATGCAATCTTGCAGTGGCTCTTCCTCCCCGCGGGGAGCAAGGACCTATTTTAATGGTTCACCCTCAAAGGTTATTGGATCCTATAGGATTCCAGGACACCATGAGAGGGATTCCGGCTGATTTGACTGGTGCTCCTGTCGAAGCCCTTTTTTGATGGCTGGCCGCCGCCACCAGTGCTGTTGACACAATTACACCTAAAGACCCTCTCTAGCGCAGAGCTCGCCCTTCGCCCTTGTTTAATCCAGAGCTGCAATCAATCAAGTGAAATAGGAGAAGGCTAGAGCAGATATCCCCTTCATGGATTGCTGCCTTGTCATGGCGAAGGGGCTTGAGTAATTCAGAGAAACTATGGGCTATGCCGTGCAGGGACACCCAAGACGGACAGGACGTAGTGGAGAATTCTGACTAAATGCAATCCACCTGGAGTAGGAAATGGCAATGCCACTCCAGTATCTTTGCCAAGAATGCCCATGATCAGAAACAAAAGGCTAAAAGATATGACGCTGGAAGATGGGCCCCTCAGGTCGGAAGGCATCCAACATGATACTGAGGAAGAGCAGAGGACAAGTACAAGTAGCTCCAGAGCTAATGAAGTGGTTGGGCCAAAGCCGAAAGGACGCTCAGCTGTGGACGTGCCTGGAAGTGAAAGGAAAGTCCGATGCTGCAAAGAAAAATACTGCATAGGAACCTGGAATGGAAGATCTATGAAACTTGGTAAGCTGGATGTGGTCAAACAGGAGATGGCAAGAATAAACATTGACATCCTGGGCGTCAGTGAACTAAAATGGACAGGAATGGGCGAATTGAATTCAGATGACTACCATATCTGCTATTGTGGGCTAGAAGCCTGTAGAAGGAATGGAGTAGTCCTCATAGTCAACAAAAGAGTGGGAAAAGCTGTAATGTGATACAATCTCAAAAATGATAGAATGATGTCAATACGAATCCAAGGCAGACC